GGAGTGAGGGGATGGGTTCCGAGAGGGCGCCGGTGCTGCCCGGGCACAGAGAGGCCTCGGTCCTGGTGGGCTGCGGGGCTGGAGGCACCGGAGGGCTGTCCTTTGGTTTTGGGGGGTTTTTTCTTTTAAATATATTTTTATTGACTTCAGAGAGGAAGGGAGAGGGGGAGAGAGAGAAACATCAGTGATGAGAGAGAATCATGGATCAACTGCCTCCTGCACGCCCCCCACTGGGGATGGAGTCTGCACCCCGGGCATGTGCCCTTGACCTCCTGGTCCATAGGTTGAAGCTCAACCACGGAGCCACGCTGGCCGGGCCTGTCCTCTGTTCCGCGGGGACACGGGCTGCTGCGTACGGGCCAGAGCTCGGCCTGGGTCTTTAAGAGGGAATGGCTCTCGGGCTGTAGCCAGGACCCTGGACGCGCCTGCCTTGTGCACCTGGTCCCGTCTGATGGGTTCCCAGCGACCGGGCACAAGTGCTTCTGTTCTCGCGTGTCCCCGAGTCCTTGCCGAGGCAGAGGTTGTGGTCCAGGGGACGGTGCCGAGCTCCACACCGGGAGCCCCTGGCCTGCGGGCGGAGTGGGCAGGAGGGTTTGGCCTCTGGAGGTGGCTCTCCTCCAGGCCAGCTCGCTGCCCGCCCGCAGATAAAATGAGAGATTAGTGGCTCCGTAATTGGGAGCCATCAGGAGCTATAACAAGTGTTAAGAGAGGTCAGCCCTAATGGAGGCTGGGAGTGAGGAGAATTGCAGGAGTTGGGGAAGGGGGCGCGGGAGAGTTCTGGGCAGCGGGCCAAGCGAGTCCGCAGCGTCCGGACAAATCCCCTGCAGACCAGCCTCGTGATCAGCCCCGAGCAGGGGCTGCGGGCGCTCGGTTCCGAGTGGGGAGGGAGGGCGAGTGGGGAGGGGACAGCTTTGCAAGGTCTAGTCTTTGCCCTCCTGACCCTCCCAGCCCCCCCCACCCCACCAGCCTCCTAGGCCCAGAGCTGGTCGAGGGTAGTGAGACCTTGGGTGGTCCCCAAATGAGCCCAATTCAGAAACAGAACCAGCAGCTGGGGGCGGTGGCCACCTTTTCCAGACACAGAAACGGGTCCTTAGAAACCAGACGGCTGGGAGCTTCCTGCAAAGAGGGGCTCCTGGG